GATGGGGCTCCATGTTATGTATGGCATCGTAAATAAACCCTTTTTTTACTTAATCCAAATTCGTCCTCGGGGAACAATTTGTTACACAATTTAAAGAAAGAAAGGCGAACAGAAAAAATAAAAAAAACCGAAGAAAATAAAATGAAAATAAGAGGCGGTGCGCCGAGTTTAGACTTCAAGTGTGTGTGTGTTTGAGGCGGTCGGTTCGTGAAGCCGTCTAGATTTAGCCCAGGTCCGAGCTTGACCCAGCTGTGTGCCCGGGCATGGGGTCAGTTTGGCTAAATGTATCTACATATATTGTCCCTTTTCCAGCTGCAATATTTTCGCCATAAAATATTTATATATAAATGTATATACATATATATATTCTTCATTTCTTCCTTCGTCTTCCGAGTCATAAGGTTTTAAATTTCTATTTGGAAATACATTTTTGATATGAATAAATAAAATGACCCAACCGAACGGATAGATATGAAACGCAACGATTCCTTCGAGTAGAGCTTGAATTTATTCTCATTTCTGGCTCAATTTAGCAGCTAAAATTTTTAGCTATATTGGGAACTTCGCAAATAGAAATTCTAGAAAAATATAATTCTATTAGAGTTTGGCATAAAATAATTAGCTTGAGATATTTATAAATTCGTGTTAGTTGGATTCTACTGTAGTTACATAACAGTATCTTCAGCTCAAATCTGTCTATACACGAGGTTAGTTCAGCTTCCACTTCGTGCATAGTGTGAGAAAGTTTCTACTGCTCTGCTGCATTACTTTTGCTACAATTCTCAGTCGGGTGTAAGTTGCTAGCTGATTGGGCATTGAACGGACTGTGTAATCAACTAAGCTGGTAGTCCTTTATTGCCTGCCTGCCAGGATAATAAGAACAGTAGCTGTTGTGTATGGCAAAAACAATGTGGGCCGTGAATCGATGTCGACTTTCAAAAATTAGCGGAAACGGAAGCCAATCAGCAGTCAGCGGAAACCGCATTGTGTGCCGCAGTACTTCAATTTCGTGGCTTCGATTATGATGAGGCGCCAAGCCGTCGTTATACCGCTCTTTGGTCGGCCAACCATACCGCTCGCTCCCTTCGCTCCTGCAGGCAGCTGCAGCGGACTTTGGCTTTGTGGTCAGTGCCGAAAATAATGGCCAAAAGCCAAATTACGTTTCCGCCCAGTCGAGAGCTGCGCTTGGCCGGAAATTGTGAAAAATCAACTTGGTCAACGGGCACACACAGACACACTCTCTCTTTCTCTCTCTCTTTCTGTCTTTTACTCGCATATTGAACCTTTGAGCAAATTGCGTTTCATAAGGAAAATTATCGCTTAACGAGCCGATTCCAATGTAAATTCAACGTATGCCAAAAATGTTACACTACAACTACATTAAAAATCAGCTCGAGTTAAAGTCGCTGCAGTGGAAAAACTTCAGCCATCAGCCAGAATCCTTCGCATCTGGCCAAATGTCTGCGAATTTTATAATGAAATTCCACACCAGAGTTTAATTATGTCGAAGGCATTTCAGTCAAAATCGCCTTCGATGCTGGAATTCCGAGCTATTCCTATGTAAGTCTTTTTGTAATATTGCAGTTTAAATTTGCATTACACTTAAATAAATTGTAATTGGAGTGGGAGAGGGAGAGTCATGGCTGCAGCTCGATTTCCGTTTAAATAAAGAAGTTTTGTGTCGCACTCAAAGTTTAAAGTTCTCATTATAAATGAAGCTTGAAAGCTGCGGTGCTATAATATCAACAAGGCTAGAAATGTTTTGCATTTCGAATAACCCCACGATATATGTATATTTATAAAAGGTATAACATCTCAAGAGAATGAAAAATCCGATGGCGATAATGATGTATGGTTATAAGATTACCAAGAAAAATTATACAATATTCGGTATTCTATTTGGTTTTGTTTTCTGTTCTTGAAATAACAAATATATAATATACTTTATCAGTTGAGAGAATTTCATAGGTGCAATCTAATATGACATATTAATGATTACTTATACATGTAAGACAAGTCAAGACAAGTCGAAGATTATTGCAGCAAATTGCATCAAATTGCATTAAATATTTCGTTTATTGCAATTCCGAATCGCAGCTTCTTCAAAGATCAGGCACCGGAAATAATAACGACCGTCCACTTCAAGCCTCATATTCAAAGTGACTGTATTGCCATATACGAGGAAGGCACGATGAGCGCCACGATCGAGTGATGTGTCTATTAACAGTGGATGGGAGCGAGCTAACATGTATGCTCTCACTACTTCGTTCGCTGTCCAATCGCTCTATACAAATGCTTTTATAATCCTCGTTCGCTCTCAGAGCGTATCGGTTTGATCTTGCCGACGAAGACGACGCTTCAAAAACGAAGTTGGGGTAAATGCTCGTGCGTCGAGAGCTTTCTCATATCAACATACTTACATATGCATATAAGCAACCGCTAGGAAATCAATCTGTCTCTTATATGAATCAACATTTAGATGAAGATTCTGTTAATTCTATTATTTTATATTAAGTATATTATATATTCTATTAAATTATATTTCATTTAGTTTTCACATTTAAAAAAATATTTATGCAATTTTTTTTCCACTAAGAGTTAATCAAAGCTAACTATCAAGTATAATGCCTTAAGTTTTAAGTTTTGAGCAGGAATATTGTAAGATATCTTTGCAACTTTTGAAGGCAGTTCACAAAGTTGGCATCAACTATCTCCTCTTTTATATTCTTGTTAAATAATTCACTTGGCTGCCAGGTGGAGCAAGCATTGGAGAGATATCTCGATAAAATTCATCCAGCATAGTTCGTACCTTATCTGAGTTTACGTGATCGCACGTATGCGCATTCGTTAGCCTTGCGTGCAAATCCTGCACAGGACATAAATTTAAAAAAAAAAAAAAAAAACTAGAATTAAGAATAAAGAATGGAAAAGAACGGTGTCCCCAATGGCCGGGCCGGCTCAGGCGGAACGTGAGCGAGTTTTGAGTAAATGTCGTCCACGAGCTGAAAACTGCAAAACTGTGGAACAAACTGTTGCTGCCAGCATATTCGATAATTAAATAGGCCAACCAAATGCTAACAGTGTGAATGCTGTTTAACTCTTGCTACTGAGGCGGCTGAGTTAAAGTTGGAGCTGGAGCCGGAGCTGCTTGTGAAATTAAATAAGTTGGCGGCAACCGCTAACGAGAAAGGTGTCTGGCACTAGGAATTAATGTGGCGGTTATGTGAAGCCCCTGGCAGTGGCTGCGGCTGAACGACCAACACCACCGACACCACCAGCCACAGCAACGCCAGCAACGGCAACGGCAACGGCAACGGCAACGGATGCGGAAGCCTGCGCAGCGACGGCGCGTAAAATTGCAGGCGCACATGTGTTCAGAGTTTAATCTGTTTAGGCAACACGAGCGCCTGCCGACAACTTGCAAAACTTCTTCACTGGCGGCAAACAAGGTAACACTAACTTTACCTGGCAGCCAGCTGCCACACACACACACACACACACACACACCCGCACACAGAACGCACAAAATAATGCACTAAACGCTGAAAATGAAATACAAGGCATTTTATCAGCTCAGCCACACCCCTTGTTAACCGCCGCCCACACCTCTTGCCTGCTCAAAACATAGACACTAAAAATGTTTAAGTTTCTGAATTTATTTTCAATATTGAGCAAAAGTCTAGCGCCTGCTCGCTACTCAAACTTAATTCTTAATGCAATTTTCTTTTGTTCTTTTGTTTTTTCTTTAAGTCTCAAAATTGGGAAGAATTTGACAACGCAACTTTCTCTAGTTGAACGAAGATTTAATAAGGTAGTCAGATATTAAGAAGCCTGATACAATTGGAAGTTCTGCTCAAAAACGTATTCAAAAATATTTTAAAATGTTTCTCGAATTTTTGTAAAACTTTTTCGACAAGTTGATTAAATTCCTAAATTCTCTAAAGAGCGGGAAAATAAGAAACTAATCAATTTTTATAGCTCAAGCTTCGTTTTAGTGCAAAGATATCAATAATTTCAGATCTCATATCTCATCTCACTTTTGCATATTATTTCCAAATTTAAAAAAATATATATAATAATAAAACGAATAAATCATAAATGGATGGAACTGTAATGCAATGTAATTGAAACTTCTCCTTGACTTAAATTGATTTCACATTGCCATTTTCTACTACGCCTATCTATCTCGAGACGAATAAGGACTAAACCAACCCTAGTCCATGCGTTAATTAAAGTCAGTTTAGCAAAAATTTAAATTCGACAATAGTAAATACGAGTAATACGAACAAACCACATAGAGCAGAGACAACAATTTGGCCATGTTTGCTGGCAGCCGGACAAAATGCTGGGTAGCTAGGAAAATGCTGGGAAAAATGCTGGGCAAATGCTGTTGGCGCACAGAAGCCATCAGCAGTCAGTTGTGTTTGCGCAGCCGTGAGTAAAAAATTTAAAAACATAAACGGAAATTACCACAAAATAGAAGCCACAGACCCTACCATATACCCCTCGCTCACACAGCACACACACACACACACACACACACACACACACACACACACACACACACACACACACCAACACATGTAGACCAGAATGTTGTTGTTGTTGCTATGCCGCAATCTAACAGGACAATCTTTTGATTAACATTCTTGGCATTTTGGGGGGAAATTAGTTTTTATGTTTATTACCTGAGCCATTACATGGCATGGAAAATGAACTTGTTGAGAGCATTTGCTCTTAATACCCTGTAATCGTAAGAGCATGATAGAGGCTGACTGCGATGTGGCATATGATATAGAACAAAATGAATATATTTTATTTGTATACCATATAAAAACATTTTTTTGAAATCAATTTATAATTGTTTGTATTTGGATATCTGCTGTAAAAAATATATAAAAAAAAAGTTTCTAAACATGTTTTTCAAAAATTTACTTTAATAAAATTTATTCATAGTCAAGTCAACAGATTATAATTAAATAAATAAACGAAAAACAAAATGTACTTAATTTATAATTGTTTTACTTTTCTTGATTTAAGCACTTGTATTTTACCTTACATCTTGCGACTGTAGTAAACTGTAGTACTCATCTCCCTGGGTATCTGCCTGTCCAGCTGTCGTGCCTCAAGCTCTCGCCAGCTCCTGCTGTCGTCGTTTTTCGTGCTGCATTTTTAGCTTTTGATATGATATAGCAAAAGTCCATTTGGCTGCTGGCCGGTGAAAAGAAATGATCGCAATCAATACTTTCTGGGTCGAAAGCGGTTGAGTTTAATTAATGCAAATGCTAGCTGGTCGTTGATTTTAATTTAGATTGGAGAGAGCGACTCGCATTACGTAAATGCAGAATGAGACAACGAAATTCCCCGAGTTTTCTCTAAAATTGGCAGCACACGGACCAAGTCTTTTCTATTCAATTAGGTAATTAAATATCTGTGTCGAGCTTTGTGATTTACGTGCAGACGTATGTCAATGACGCACATACGTTGCTATGTGATATTCATAAATGTTGAGTTCATTTCGCAAATATAAGCCGACATTTTAATTAACTAATCAAAAGCAACGTGTTGCCTTGGCTCTCGGCCGTATACATATTTGCCTTCTATTTGTTCGTACATACATAAATTCAATTTTCGTCTTTACGGTAATCGCATTTGGCCATGAATTTTCCGGCTCCGGTTCTTACTCACTCTGCCGCTCTGTCTCTCTCCTCTCTCTGTATGGTAGGCCTGCGGGCATTCTATTGCAGCTGCATTTGGCATTTTGGGTCTGCCTAAGCCTGCCGAGCGTTCCCAGTAGCTGCATGCATCATGTTGCAAGCCACATGCCAAATGCCTCCTGCCGCCTGCTGCCTGCTGCATGGCTGTAAATCAGTGGGAATTATTTGTCACATGCACACAACTTATGCAAAGATAACGTATATTAATTTTGCACCTGGCCCAAAATGTAACCAAGAACTGCATCAAAAATGCCAGAGGCAATTTATTAGTTATGAATATTAGAAATTTCATGTTTTCCTCACATTAAATTTGCCCATGATAAATTCTCGTCTGTCTACGGAATTGCGTTAAATTGTTGCCTTTAATTAAAAGCAAATATGAGAATTATCTCTAAGCAGACAGCCCTTTCATTTTCATCCTTTTTTTTTTTTTTTTTTTGTCTTTTCTTGCATAATATTTAAATTAAATATGCATAAATTTTGGAGCCGTAATTGGTTTAATTTTGAATTTAAATAGAAAGTGTTTTTGACTTGTTTTGATTTGATCTGCTTTGTAAGCAGTGATTTTCTGAAACTTGAAGTCTGCTTTTAATCAGGTGAAATTAAATTCAACAGCAGGCGAAAATACTGCAGTGCGCTGTAAGGATATTTCAAATATTAATATTAGTATTAGTGAATCAAGCCCATAAATAAAAAAATAAAACAATAATTTTTTGCTGGCTACCTCTGGGCGCTTCTGAAGAACTGTTCAAACTCTTTAAACATGTGAAAATGCAAGAAAAATCGTTCGTAACATAATATATAGATTTAATCAATTTTATAATTAAATGCAGTTTTTTGTATGGATATTCATAAAGTTTTAAATTATCAATAGCTTAAAAAGCTGCTGAAAAATATTTATCAAAAATCGTATCACTCTTATTTAGTCACTGGTAAAAAATTAGATTTACCATGCATTTTTTCATGGAATTCATATATATTTAATCTCTATAAAAATTAAAACAAGCCACAATTGTGAGTGTGTATAATGGAGTATTAATATTGAAGCATTTTGCTTACTTGTTGCGATGCGCCAGGCGCTTACATTGATGATAAGCAGCCCATTTGGCAGCTGCAATAAAAAGCAACAACAATCAGCGAAATATGAAACATAGCTTGCATTAAAAGTATTACCTTTTTGCTCATCTTCCGCAGCTACCCGCGCTCCACCGTCATCTATGCATGAGCATATATACATAATAAAAGGAACAAAGCGGAAATGCTTTCAAGTGTAATGATAAATGAACGCAAACTCTGAACATAAATCAACACGGTGGGTATAGGTTGGAAGATGAACTGGATGCTGGGTTGGTGTTGGCTCTAGGGTTGGGGCTGGGGTCTGCAGTTGGGTTCCAGATGCACCTCAGGCAGAGCTATGATGCTGCTGCTGCTGCCGCTGATGGGTTAAGCCCAACTTCAGTGGCAAACTAACTGCAAACGGGCTTGTCCCTGTCCTGCGCTTCCTGCTGCTCCCGCTTTTTGGATGATTTAAGCGTCGCTGCCCGACTCCAAATGTGTTGTGGGAAATATGCATGAAAGCAAACGCCGGTAAAAAAATACAACGAAATTTGTATATACATATATAAATGCACGCATATAGCACAATATTTTTAATTTTTCACATTTTTGCCAGAAAAAAAGAACGAAATGGAAATGAAAATGAAAATAAAAATGCAAAACAATAAAAGTTCAGCGAAAGGTGCAGCTGCCACGCCCACAGCCACAGACACACACACGGCGTAGCCCGCAGGGGGAGGCGCGCCTCTCCCTTCAGGCCACAGGCAATATAAGTCACCCATGTGGGCCATTGCACACATACTCACACTCACACTCACATTCACATTCACATTCACCGAGTCGCATCCGTTTCGGGTTGAAACATTTTTTTCGAAATTGCATTGTGAATAATGTAGTGTTAATTCTCGTGAGTGCCATGTTCCCTGTTTTATGGGTTTAATGCTTTTGTTTATTGGTCTGCTGTTGCATACGGAGTCCGAGGATTCCGAGGAGATTGGCCAAGTAGGACTCCAGCAGTCCTGCAGCTGACTGGCCAAAGCTGGGCCGTTGCGTTTCTGCTTTTGACACTTGACAAGAAAATGCATTTCGCCTGGCATTTGACTTTTAGTTTTCCCTTGTTCCAACCGAACATTGTCGTAAATTAAATTGAAATTCCATTTCAGCCCCCACAAATTATTAATTGCCAAATAATAAAAGCAAAGGAATGTCATAAATATTGATAGCAAATGACAGACAAATGCCAAACCTTCAGCCTAATGGCAGCCTAACACGACTTCCATTTCCATTTGCACAAACTTTATTTTTGGGTTTTTTTTTTTTTTTTTTTTTTTGCTCAGAAATACATGTCAAATTCAAATTTGATGTAGAAGCAAATAAAACTTTGAAATATTTACAAGAATTTGCACTGAAACTTTTACAGTAAATATTTGTTTCTCTTTGTGGTCTTTTTAAGTTGAATCAGCAGCCTGATAATATTTTCTTTAAATATAAATATGCTTACAAGTTATATAGCATACTATTGAGGGCAAATTATATATTCTATATAATATAGGTACCCTCCATATATTTTACATCTGAATAAAATATGTTTATTCCATTTTTATTCTTTTCAATATAAATATTAAAATTTCAATGCAAATTTATTATTAATCAATAATCAACGTAGTTGTGAAATATAACTCTATAAAGAAACATTTGTTTTAGCTTGGAAAAAAAAAATAAATAGAAATAATAGTAATTTTTGCATATTTTAATTTTTTAAAGATAGTCACAAAATTAAAAAATATTAAATATTAGAGCCACTAAATCTTTCATTTATTAATATAAATTACTTATATAACAGCTAACATAATTTATTATTTAATGTAATAAATATTTTATTCCTAGCCTCCAATATATATAACTTATATAACACATATACATATACAATTCATAAAACATTTATTCAATGCAATAATTTGTTATAGTGTATTTACCTTTCGTCATTCAGCTCCCAATTTTGTTTACCCATTTTTTTTTTTCATTCATTTATAGTATTGTCTACCTTTATCTGGTGATGTATAAAGCAAAATTTATGGCACTGTCCGACACTTAAATTGATTTTTTATCGCCTTTCAACACGGCAAACTTGTTGTTGCCATGCATAAATTACAAGTGAGTTACTAATGGAGAATCAATAATTATGATTGACAGTGTATCTCGTACGCTCGCAGCTCGAATCGCAGTCGCATATTAATGAGTGCATTTACCAACACTATTTTTACCAAGCTGGAGCGGAATTCAATTGGACAGTAATATTCCAAGCCATTCATAAAGTCAAGGACTCCTTAGTAGATATTCAGATTACCCCACGTTTTGATTTACTAAAAGTTATTTTGTCATTTTCAGTGCTAATATACACATTTGGCATTTGCGTAAAATTAAAATGTTACTAGAATTATTTTTAATAAAATTATCAATGTCGATTCATTATGCGCTTATAATGCTTTTTTGTGTTCCAATTGTAATTGAAATGTCAATTCCAAAAACATGAATATATATTTGATAAACACTTTAAATGAGATTTTTAAATTCGTTTTTGCAATTTTCAGTTAACTTTGCAATGCGTTTGTCTCTTAGGTAAGTTCTGACAAAGTTCGATTTTATGTGTTTACTTTATTTTTTGTCAAAAGTCTTTACCACAGTTATTTACAATGTAAGCATACCATATAGTTAAATGTATGTATCTGTGTGAGAAGAAATTTTTGAGAATAAAATTACATTTGCTACAGACCAAATTTAATAAGAATTTTCGATTGAGTTTTTGTTACATTTTATTCAATTGCTTGCTTGCGACAGGTAAGATCTGTATGACGTTGAAATGATTTACTTGGAAATACCCTGGGACTAATGAATATTTATATATTATGAATGCTGCAGTTGAGAGTGAGTAGTTTGAATATACTCTTTAATATAAGCTGCAGATCGTAAGTGTTTAGATTCATATATATGTATATTACAAATTATATTATTATGATATATTTTAAAATAGTATTATATGTAATATTACGTTAGGTTTTCTAGAGCTTCAAGCATAGCTGCAAGAAAAAACCTGATACAAAATTTTAAGAAAAATAATAACAAAGTGCTTAATTCTTAAATCATTCTCAATTTTAGATTAATTCTAATCTCTAATAAATAAATAAAATAGTCGACTCACATTCAATACAGGAAGCATAGTAAATACGTTTGAATTTCTGCTCAAGGCAAAAGTAATCACTAAAATACATTCCTATTATTTAAATTTCTTACAGGATATTCAATGATAGAAATTGAACAATTTTTAACAGACATTTAAATTACTGCTGCAGGCCTAATGAATCCGTAAGAATTTGCCAAGTTATTTAAAATTTTCATATCCAATAATAATGCCGCAATAATAAAGCGATTCAAAATGTTTGAACTAAACACTTTAAGCACACGCACACACAGATGAAAACATGTATATGGACACACACATGCATGCACATGTGAACATCTGGCGTTTGATGCTGGAATCAACAATTTTAATAATTTCGTTTTATGAGAATTGTGCTCGGGTTAAATGATTCGAAAAGAATGCAGGGAAGCAAAACTCGTAGCATTTTATGACTGTTTTTTTTTTCCGCTGTTGAGCGCAACCAACAGAGCTCATCAGCCTCCAGTAACTTCATTGTTGTCATGTGTGAGCAGCGGCTGGCCTTCAAATGTTTTCGGGTTTCATTCCGCTGACTTTTCAATCAGGTTGAAAGCTGCGTATGCCTTGAGATTCCTAATCAGGAAAATCTCTTTTAAATGCGTCCACTAATTGCAAAACTGTTGGGGATAATCATAGAGAGAATGAGCTCTGTCAGCTCCTCTTCCCCTATCCAAGACCCTTCAGCTACACTCACAAACTAATCAAGAGGCGCGCTTTGTTTTAGACATACGAACTTATTGAGATCGAGGTCGAGGGGTTTCTCTATGCGAAAACATTTCTCCGGCTAAGAAGCAATTATCGCAGATAGGAAAAGAGTTTTTCCACTTGTTTTGCGGCAAGTTTTTTGGGATAACTTTTGCTTCTGGTTCCAGGCGCTGCCCTTGCCCCTGCAGCAGCCCCTGCCCTAGCAAAGGTTCTGTTTGTGAAGCACGTTTATCAGTGGCCAAGTTTTTACTACTGGCTGTGGTCCTCGTCTGTTCATTGTTAACTTTTCTGCCTTACTAATGGCTATCAGAGATAAGTTCGACTACAAGCCAAAGTTTTATTTTGTAAGCAACGTTGTTAATCTGTCGAGCATGTGTAGAAATGGGCGTGGCAGGGGCAGTGGCAGCGGTGGGAGGGCGACGAGTGCTTTTAAAAAGTTATCAACAAGCGTTCAGCCAGAGATACGAGTCTTCTGTTAAGACATATACTCCCTACACATGTTACGGACACACACACACACACATTTACATGGTGCTAATCAAGTGCATTTGTATGTAGCTTGTCGGCTTGATTTGCAACTTGTAGCATGCCACCTGCGTGGTTTCTGACTTATGGTGCGAGTGTGTTTCCCTAATCAGGGAAATGTGTTAGATTAACGAATTTGCACACTTTGCTATTAGGGATTAAAGAGGAAAGCATTTAATGAGGAATTACCCTTAATACAACCCTTAATACTGCCTACTAAGCCGATAATTACTGAAAGCTACGACATGATTGCATTTGCTGCTGGTAAGTCAACTACTACGATTTGCTAATGCTACTACTATTTGGTGCAACCAATTATTCTACTAGTGTGTACTACTTCCTCTACTGCTATCTATATCTACTGTTGATACTATTTAATATTAAACTCTTGATATTTACAACAACTACTATTTTCTATTATTTTACTACTTCTACTACTATTTATCATTACTACTACTGCTACTACATACCTATACAACTACTACTTTGGTTAGCAACAACAAATATTAACTTATCTACTACAATTTGTCATTAATACTACTACTACTAATACTATTACTACTATTATGTACATACCTCTACATACTACATATTACTATTTCCATTTAGCCTTGCATAAAATGCATAAAAATAATGCATAAAATTAAAATTTTCCAATACTATTATTCTGACTTTATTACTACTTACTATTATGACTTAACTACCACTACTATTTATTCCAACTACAATGGCTACTATTTGTCAATCTCTTAATAGATTATTATAATGAATGCTTATATTATGCTACTGCTCCTATTTTCATATATTACATACTATTATTACAACTTATTTCTCTTCTATTACTATTTATAATTTATTCCAGAAATAATTTTTTATATATATATACTAAAATTTCTATGCAAAAGTATAGCTATGCAGTATTTTAAAATTGTATTATTACTTTAATTATTCATTATAATTCATTAGCTGTAGATCTTTATAAAACGATTTAAATCAATTTCATTTTTCAATAAATTTTTACTTGATTCGCATTTACAACAGCTTTAAAATAAAATTTTAATCAGCTGCAGAAAATTGAAATTCTCTGATGGCGCCCGGAAATATGCAGTACATACATACGTATGTCTATAAAATATATATGTATGCAAATACTTGCGTGTGTGTGTGTGTGCTTGTGTGGGCACAAGTTGGCTTCTAGCTGGGCTGTTGGGCAGGTGAATAGACAGCTAGATTGTGTATGATGAGATTATTTGAATTACCTTTGCAATCAAATTGACACCACATAGACGTACCGTAACGGACAGCGGACTGACTGGGACAGACAGCTGGACGGACGTCTGGAAACAGACGGCGCAAAGTAAATGCGACGTATGCAAGTGCAGAGAAGCAGTGAGCGAAAGAGAAAGAGAGGGGGAACGAGAGACAGTAGAAGAAATTCTAGTTTGATGGGCAGTCAAGACTATACATTATCTATATATATACATACATACATGTATATGTGTAGGCAGATGCCCTGTGTCTAACTAAATAATTCAAATAAAATTTTCACTAATGCCCCAATACACAAACTTCCTGAGCTCTCGGCTCAGAGTAGGCTGTTAATGAGCAGCAGTCGAGATGCGAAGCAGCAGCCGGAGAAGTATTCACAATTGTTATAGAATCTGAGCGAGAGAAAACACATTTCAAGTAAAATGTCGGAATTGAAATTTGATGAGAAGTGCAGCGAATTTGATTTGGAGTCCACAGAGGAGTTATTTGACCGCATGAACTTGCAGGAGCAGGATGAGGAGAACTTGTCGTTCGAGGACGACGAGAGCACGCTGAAGCAGCATCAGCTGGACCAGGATCTGGAGCAGGTGCAGCGTCGCCAGAGCATTGTCTTCGAGAACGCTCAGAAGCAGGTGGCTGTGCTCGAGAATCTGCTGAAGACCGTCGAGCCGGACTGGCAGAAGGCCGTGGAGAAGCGAATGACTGCCGGGGAGTGCCCGCCGCCGCAGGCCTATCGCTTCAAGGACATCTATGAGCGCAAGAAGCAGCAGCTGCGGCAGCAGCACCTCGCGGAGGAGCGTGCTAAGCGCCAGTTTCACAGCCGTCCGATGCCCAACTTTAGTCGGGCCCATCGTTATCTGGCCAATAGGCCGACTGTGCATCGCATCACCTGTGCGGTCACGCCCAATGTGCTGAAGACGTCGCGACAAATGCTGCTCAAGCGTAAGCAAAAGATCGAGCAGATGCAGCGCGAGCAGGAGGAGCTGCAGAAAGTCAATATGTATCCCAAGCCGAAGCCGGTGCCCAAGTTTAAGCCGGCTCCATTGAAGCCGGCCAATGCTCCGTTGCAGCTGGAAGTCAAGCCGTTCCGTCTGTCCACTGAACTGCGCGCCGAGCAGCGCAAAATCTTCAATGCTCAGACACTTCAGGCGCAGGAGGCCAAGCGCCGTCAGCTGGAGGAGCAGCGCAAGCGACGCGAGGAGGAAGAATTCCAAAAGCAGCGCCAACTGGCCACTTTTCGTGCTCGTCCCAATCCCTTCAAGTATCAGTTTGGCGGAAGTGCCACGAACTAGTGGATCTCATGTTTTGGTTATTTGATTAGTTGATTGCAAATCTGTAAATTGTTTTTCGTTAGTTTCGAGTTGCCTGTTTCTTATTGTTAATATATTAAATTTATTATAGTTCAGCCAACGTTTTCCTTCTTGAAATGTGGTTCATGACGGATAATAATATGATTTATTAAATTTATTATATTTAAATATAAGTAGTATATGTTTATCAGTATCAGCTTAACCATACAATTTCATTTAGAGTAAATGAGCACGACACATCCAAACAGTCGATAAACTTAAGAGATCTTATAAGGATGTTTTTCAGCTGTGTCAAACCATATATAATTGCAATATAATTTTCCTACTATATTTTGTTTATAATTCACTTAATATGTAATTGATATTCTTATTTATTTTTTTATACAAATCATAAATTTATTATAAAATTCTATATTTATTTCAAATAAATATTTCTGTTAACATATCATAACACTTTCATTTTCAAATTCATATTAAAATTCTGTGCTTTTTTTTATATACATATACCTAAAATTTATTCCCTTTCTATGTT